TCTCTCTCTCTCTCTCTCTCTCTCTCTCTCTCTCTCTCTCTCTCTCTCTCTCTCTCATTCCTTCTGTTTCGCTTCAGCGAGTTTCTTTACACAATTTCCCCGCTATCTTTCATCGGTCCCGTGCACCCATTTCATAGAAACTTGATGCCAAAACACAGCCCACAACGCCGATTACCGAACAGAAAAACATGCCAGTGCTTGTATCTTTTGTCCCATTTTTCACAGTACCCCAAGTATGCCTCCCCTTTACCCTTTCTTTATTTTCTGTGTTAATCCCTCATCCTCCTCCCCCTTCCAAATCCTTTCCATACTCTGCCTTCTAAAATCTTCAAGACTCGTGTTTCTCTCCTCCCTCAATTTCTACTCCTGTTGTCATCATCATCACCATCATCATCATCAACATTGTTGTTATTGTCGTCATTATCTGCAGCGGCAGCAACAGCAACAGCTACATGCATTACCACATCACCATCTCAATAGTCGTATTACAGTTCAGAGACATTGACAATTTAGAATATTTTTTTTTAAAGATTACAAGTTCGAGTGAAAACCGAAGAGGACGCGAACATATAGCATAGATAGACAGACAGACAGACAGACAGACAGACAGACAGACAGACAGACAGACAGACAGACAGGCAGGCAGGCAGGCAGGCAGACAGACAGAGACCACAGAGAAAGAGACATAGATAAGATGCTCTGTAAAAGCGCATTTTGCATTTTGAATAAAACGTGACCTGAAACAATGTATCACGAAATGACGTGAGGATGTAAACATGACGTCATGACAAGCAACCTGTAAACTTGCTTGGCCTGAGTATGACGTCATTCCTGCTAATGTAGAGCAGTGTTTTGTTGACGACGTCAGAGTTGAACGCATCGGGAAACGAAAGGCTACCCTTTTGTTGCATTTATCATCTTGTTGTCATGTCTCGCAACACTACAATTTCTTTGAAAGCAGTTACAAGTGAAAGAAAGTAATTTTTAAAAAAATACAGTGGAATCAGGCACGGGGTAGCTGTGTGTGTGTGTGTGTGTGTGTGTGTGTGTGTGTGTGTGTGTGTGTGTGT